ACGTGTTTTTGATCCTGAACATCCGTGAACAGTTTTAGCCCCAGTCCCTCACCTAAAACGGGCCATACCTGTCTGTAATTTGCATAACAATAAGTTGCTCATCGTAGTGCGAGCTGTCTTCCCCAATGCTCACTAGGCAGTAGGACACATCAGGGTGAAGACGCAACAGCAAGTGTGGTACAGTTGCAAGGTCGAACTTTTATGAGGCGAAGACACAAAGGCATGTTTCGTAAGTATCACATTTTCTTCAGTATTCTTAGTCAGTAGATATAAAAAGCGTACATGAATGCAAGGAAAATTACGACAAGTATTTATGATGCGATTCTTTGTTATGTTTTGCCTGTCGTTTCTTTTATGTCCCTCAGAATATTAGCTAACATAAAAGTAGATGGGAATATTACCACTAATATCACGGACTAATTTAGATGATAATACCGTACTTGTGACAGTTCTGAGCTTTTGGTCCAAAGACAAGTGTGTCCTATCATTGTGTACATCAATTTTATGGTCAAAATATCGCGCACAAACGCGTGTTGCATAGCGATTTTAGATATTACAACATTGAATAGTTGGTAAAATAAATTATCGTCTCTAGTAATAACCTCCACGAATTAAAGACTTGTTTTCAATATTTATTTTTTAAAGCAAGATATCTCAAATATCTTTATCAATAACTTCAGATCTTAATTTTGGCGTAACCTCGATATAGATTGGCTTTTTGAGGGGTGCTATCTGAGCCTGAACATCGGACGAGTCAGTGAACACCCACATCATTTCAAGCGCCCAATTTTCTTTGATGTAAAATGCATTAGTTGTATTTTCCGAGTCTGCCCGTTTAGTCAAATATTGCATTACATTACTTTCTCATTTCAGAAGTCCGCTGAGATACTGAGTACTGCGCAACACCCGCCTGCTACAAAAATGTAGCAACCAAGCCTTTCATTCACTTTCTGGAACCAAACGCAAATTCATGCAACTATTGCATTTTAATAAAAGCTGAATAGATAAGTTTGTCATTGCTTGTTTCTTTTACTTTGATATGAAATAATGTCGATAAAAATAGTGGTAATAATAAAGGTATGGTAATTGTTTGAGTACTTTCGAATTTAATCCGCTAAAACTGATCTGTAAATATTGTGTTTGGGATTGTTGATTTCTGCAGTAACAGAAGATATCTAAAAACAAAAGGTTTTTAAAAAATTTGTAAATATTCCAAGTATTACACGTTCAAGATTTTCCAACGGCCCATATTTATAAATATAATATGTGTGAATTTACGATTTTGCTTTTTGAAAAGCTATTCTGTATTTTATTCTGTAGTTAGACAGTTTTTTTNCTCAGTCAAATCTTCATAAACATGATTTTGGCAGTGAACATTCGTGAACAGTTCCAGCCACAGTCCCTCACCTAAAATGGGCCATACCTGTCTGTAATTTGCATAACAATAAGTTGCTCATCGCAGTACGAGCTGTCTTCCCCAATGCTCACTAGGCAGTAGGACACATCAGGGTGAAGACGCAACAGCATGTGTGGTACAGTTGCAATGTCGAACTTTTATGAGGCGAAGACACAAATGCATGTTTCGTAAGTATTACTTTTTCTTCAGTAGTAGATAGTAGATATACAAAGCGTACATGAATGCAAGGAAATTACGACAAGTATTTACGTTACGATTCTGTTATATTTTGCCTGTCGTTTCTTTTATGTCACTCAGAATATTAGTAGATGGGAATATGACCACAAAGGTCACGGACTAATTTAGATGATAATACCGCACTTGACACAGTTCTGAGCTTTTGATCCAAAGACAAGTGCACCCTATCAACGTGTACATCTTTTTATGGTCAAAGTTTATCGAAAATTCAAACGTCTCCCTTTACGACAATCACGATAAATTAACAAAAATAAATACTCCTTTTGATTTGAATAATCTTACTTTTGTCTCTTAGAGGTTTCATCTTTTTCTTTTGATCAATTCTAAATTAATTTTTGTAGGTTTAAATTTATTGTATTATACATGTACCTGTAAAGATGTTTGAAAGCAGTGCTGAAATACGGAACTATGATTTATAATAAAGCGAAATATGGTCCACAAACGCGTGTTGCATAACGATTTTAGATATTACAACATTGAATAGTAGTTAAAATAAATTAACGACCCTAGTCATAACCTCCACGAATTAAAGAATTGTTTTCATCGTTTATTTTTTTAAAGCAAGATATCTCAAATATCTCAATTAATAACTTCAGATCTTAATTTTGGCGTAAGGTAACCTCGATCTAGATTGGATTATTGAGGGGTGCTATCTGAGCCTGGTCATCGGACAAGTCAGTAAACACCCACATCACTTCAAGTGCCCTCTTCTCTTTGATGTAAAACGCATTAGTTGTATTTTCCGAGTCTGCCCGTTTAGTCAAATATTGTTTACATCACTTTCTCATTTCAGAAGTCCGCTGAGATACTGAGTACTGCACAACACCCGCCTGCTAGCAACCAAGTTTTTCATTCACTTTCTGGAACCAAACGCAAATTCATGCATTTTAATAAAAGCTGAATAGATAAGTTTGTCATTGCTTGTTTCTTTTACTTTGATATGAAATAATGTCGATAAAAATAGTGGTAATAATAAAGGTATGATATCTGTTTGAGTACTTTCGAATTTAATCCGCTAAACTGATCTGTAAATATTGTGTTTGGGATTGTTGATTTCTGCAGTAACAGAAGATATCTAAAAACAAAAGGTTTTTAAAAAAGTTTGTAAATATTCCAAGTATTACACGTTCAAGATTTTCCAACAGCCCACATTTATAAATACAATATGTGTGAATTTACGAATTTGCTTTTTGAAAAGCTATTCTGTATTTTATTCTGTAGTTAGATAGTTTTTTATATCTCTTGGAATATATAAGTACGTCCTCCCGGATATCATTCTCTCAATTTTAATATGGGTCCATTTTTTAAGGATTCTGGTTATTGTTGCAGAAAATTGATTTAAATTTCACGATCTTCTTATCATATAAATACTTCAATTTAAAATTTAAACGAAAAAAATGAGAAAGTTGAGAGACACACTTGAAATGGCAACAGTTGAAACTTGCTTCTTTAAAAAATATGTTTTAAATATATTGATCCCTTAATTTAATTTTGTGACGTAGATTTATTTCCACACAGTCCCAAATGTACCGACAAAAAGGTTATATTTATATGAAATTGTGGAAAAGCAAATTTTTAAGACCAATAATTTAATGATTAATTCTGCATGATACAAGTTTCTATCCCCCCAAAACTTTGCTAACACAATATTTAAAAAAAAAAAATTTATAAAGTTTATTCCACGGACATTATAATGTAATTTTGTGGTGATTTTACGTGCATGTGCACCTGTCACCCCTCAAAAAGAATGGAATCGCCCCACCTGTCACCCCTCAGATGAAATGAACTCGTCCCTCCTGTCACCCCTTCAGATGGAATGGACTCGCCTCACCTGCCACCCCTCAAATGGAATGGACTCGCCTCACCTGTCACCCCTCAGATGAAATGGACTCACCCCACCTGCCATCCCTCAAAAAGAATGGACTTGGCCCACCTGTCACCCCTCAAATGGAATGGGCTCGCCCCACCTGCAACCCCTCAAATGGAATAGACTCGCCCTACCTGTTACCCCTCAAATAGAATGGACTCGTCCTAACTGTAACTCCTCAAATCGAATGAACTCGACCCACTTGTCACCGTTCAAAAAGGAATTGTCTTAACTGTTACCCACCTCAATGCAGTCACACAAACCACACTCATATCAAACTATAAAATAAAGTCATTCTAGTGTGGTTAATTATTTATTTAGGACATCTTTTGCGACAGAAAATCATGGTGAAGAAATAAAATTAAATCTATGCACACTTTGATTGGCATAGACTCTAGTGAAATAATATGATTATAGGTCAAGGCCGTTTAGACAGAGGTACCTGCTTGTGACTGACAGCGACGAAATCTTGACTTTTACATACTTGTTGAATTTTACATACTCAGTAGAGGTATTTTAACTTTGTATGACATTTTTTTAAGTGTGTTGGGCTCATTTTGGAACGCCTTTGGATCTGGTGGATGAGGTTGACACATCTGCGTCGCTTACGTTGACATTCATTGAAAACTACTCCAGTTCTCGGAGCTCTTGTGTCAAAGGCTAAATTGTGCTCTGCAATATAGTGTGCATATACCAGTGCGCGCGCTTTTGTGTGCACATGTGCAGGATTCAGATTTGTGTTCAAGTAATAATAATATTGCTGAGATTCATGTCTAACCTTTATTCAGGGGGCTCCTACCCCCCCCCCCCCCCCCCCCCTTTTCGATTTCTGTAAAAAATCACACCAATGATCCCCTCCTGAAATTAGAATTTTGACTAGCTGAATCATATTTTTAATCAATACCAGATGACACCATCCGCCCTCAAAGGCTACCATTTTTTTGGGGATCTTCAGCAGGCCCCGAACCCACGCCAAAGGGGGGGGGGGTTGACTTCGCATCCGCGGACACCCTCTTCAAATAATCCTGGACCCGCCCCTGCTAATGATATCAGTGCAGCCAGTCTTCTGCTGTCTTCTATTTAAGTAGATCTATATGCATATATTCAAACAAATACGAAAAATAACATAAACCATACTTATCCTCTTTAAAGTAATCTATTAAAGCCCCAATCAGGCTGTGCAGTGAACCTTCAAGGTGAATGTTATTTATAACTATTATTGTTTTATTGATTTGGCTGTTTTAACACCGCACATCCCAGCACAATGGTCACGTGAGCTGATTGTGTCTGTGACGTCAATTAGCAACAGACATTTGTGAGATTTGGGCGGAAGTCAAAGTCAACTCCGTCCAAATTGTTTGAAATATCGATAATTTCTTGTTTCTTCGCTGAATTGCGACTTCTTTTTTAAATATACGTGTTTGTTGTACACGGCTTCATATTATTTGATACAGGGAGAACATATAAAAAATTGCCAGTATGAAGAACTTGAAGATCAAAGTTTTGTTGATGTTGCTACTCCTGCAACCTCTCCATGGAGGTAAGTATATCGTCAAACTATAGACTTATGTAACTCTTTTGCAGCGGGCGATATACATTAAAACAGCTCACGGGGAACCAATGTTTTTTCACCATTCATTTAGCACAAATTGTGATGTTTTTTTTTTAATTTGGTTTGTCAAAATTCCATGCATTCAGCATCTTACTTTGTGTTTTTGTTTTCTTTTGTTTGAGACTAATTCATTAGACCCTACTTTCTCTATTTTTTTATATTCATTTAAATTAATCGTGCTTCCTATACTTCTCTTTGCCCTTGGTTGCTTCCTTGCTTTCCATTTTTAAGCTACATCCTTTCTTTTCTTTGCTAGCTTTTGCCTCGAAAAAAGCTCCAAAAAAGTTCATGGCGTACCACAAACTCGCAATTTCATTCACCTTTGTGTTTTTGGGCATAATGTTACTCGGCACGAGTTATATTATTTGGTTCAATTGGAAGAAGGTACTGAAACAAAATTTTGTGTTGCACTTACATTTTAAATTTAGTCTGCATGAAAGTATAAAAACAGTTATCTCTTATGAATTTCTGTGTTAGATAACTTTAAAATATAAAATAGGTAATTATGATGAAGAACTGGAAATTACTTTGTTTCTGCTGTAATCAGTTTCATAACATTATTGTTTTATTTTTACATTTCTTTCCTTTCCTTTCTTTTCCTTTGCCTTATAATTATAGTGGTCATTATCATTTCAGAGAAAGCAGAGTGGTATCATAGTTGTTCCCAAATATTCTGGTGAACATCACTATAGATACATGGTAGCAGTTCAAAATGGGCTGAAAAGAGGTAAAAGTGATGCTAAGATCTTTCAGGTTGTTGATTCTGATCCTTGTTGAAAAGCTTAAACTAGTTATCATTGTGTGAATAATAATAATAATAATATATTTTAATATATTTTAACAATGAAATGACAAAAAGAGAAATAGAGATATAGGCCAATGAAGAGTCTTACAGTTGTATATAATTGTTGAAGTTGTTGTTTAACTGAATTTATTCCAAACTATAGAAATATGTTGTTTTGTAGCAGTAAAGACACCCAAAGTCAGATTGCAGTTGATAGGAGACCAGGGGGTATCTCCTGAATATAATCTGAATGAACATGGGAGGAAGCACAATTTCCTTGGGGTAGGACAGAAGAAATGGTTTCTTTTGTAAACAAAANTGGGCCAGATTATTGAGGCTGTCTGGGATTATTGTTTTATTTTTACATTTCTTTCCTTTCATTTCCTTTATTTTCCTTTGTCTTATAATTATAGTGGTCATTATCATTTCAGAGAAAGCAGAGTGGTATCATAGTTGTTCCCAAATATTCTGGTGAACATCACTATAGATACATGGTAGCAGTTCAAAATGGGCTGAAAAGAGGTAAAAGTGATGCTAAGATCTTTCAAGTTATTGATTCTGATCCTTGTTGAAAAGCTTAAACTAGTTATCATTGTGTGAAAGGTAATAATAATAATAATTATATATTTTAATATTTAAATGAATGACAAAAATAGAAATAGAGATATAGCCAATGAAGAGTCTTACAGTTGTATATAATTGTTGAAGTTGTTATTTAACTGTATTTATTCCAAACTATAGAAATATGTTGTTTTGTAGCAGTAAAGACACCCAAAGTCAGATTGCAGTTGATAGGAGACCAGAGGGTATCTCCTGAATATAAACTGAATGAACATGGGAGGAAGCACAATTTCCTTGGGGTAGGACAGAAGAAATGGTTTCTTTTGTATACAAAAGGTAAGTATCTTGAATATTTTGGAGCACATATAAATTTCTTTTCCTGCAAATATTGATTCAGCAGTATTATTAGCAGCTAACTGCCATTTACTTTATTACATTCAATTCAGCATGTACAGTCTTAACTGGAACATCAGGTCACAGTTTGCTGTTCATCTCTGTCAGTGGCTATATTATATATCATTACTATTACTTAAAGTATCATGTTAACTCAGTTATGTTGACTTTTTATCATAAAGTTAAGTGCAGAGCATGTTCAGAGAGAGTTAGTGCAAGAATTCTTGGTGATTTGTAAAACGGTTCTTATGGTATTGTTATGTATTAACTAAATTTATTTTTAGAATTAAACTACAACTCTGTTATATTTGATGCATGTTGTACTCTAAAACAACACACTAACATTTAATCATTATAGTGAATCTTTTTTATTTTAAACTCAGAGTCCCTGGGAAAACTGAAGAAGGTTGTGGTGTACATCAGTGATAGACCAGGAGCTCAATGGTAATTTTAAAAATACAAACTGGAACATCACAAACATATTTACACTATTGGACCTGTATAAAGAAAGTTCTGCAAATCAAATGAAGATTATTTTTGTCATTGTTCTGAAATATGTTTTGTGTCTTCAATACCTTGGATGCATCTGTAGTTTAAGGTATATTCATATTGTTATGTTATTTATAGTAGATATTTTTACATGTTCAGATGGAGTTCAGTGCCAATTTAACATACTCCTATGTATTTTTGAAAAAAAAACTGTTAGCTAGCTTCTCAGTTTAGATGGATGGAAGCCCAGATTTATTTGAAATATTGATTGTTAAATGTGTTGTATAAAGGTATTTGAATGAATTTTTATTATTATTTTTCTTTCATTGAAGGAATGTGCTGGATATAACAGTATATGATACAGTGTCTGGCTGTGAATCCCACTTCAGCAGCAATGGATGCCTCACAGTGGGATACACCACTTTGGAGTCTTGTAAGAACTACAGGTAAGTTGAAGACTTTCTCACAATTGATAAATAAGCATATGATGTACTTTGAAATGTCTGCTTTTACAAGTTATCAACAAATAAAATATGAAAGATAATAATAATAATGATACATATTCTGATTTTTTAATGTAGTATTCATTTTTTCTTCAACATGGAATGTACTCATAGTAATTTTCATGTAAAATGTCTGTACTTTGATATTTGATATACATTTTTTAATTTATTAAAATATTTTTCAGGTTTGGACTGCAAACTTGCCTTCTGTATTTGTGGTCTTGTCATGGATGGACACGCTGTTCCAGCTTGAAGCTGGCCCCTGTCCTTTTGTGGTTTAACAGCACCTTGAACTACATGTTAGCAAACATGCTGCTTACCAGTACCCTTCTCAGTGCTGTTGGTGTCATTCAGCTTGATAGAGGTATCTTCCTCTCCAGCCTCCTTGTCAATATAGGAACAGTCCTTGTGAATAGCATATATGATGTAGCAATGTACAATATCAGGTGCTATGACAGAGAGGACACTGGTGACACTGTGCTGCAGAACCTGGAAGATGAGCCCCAGTATGATGACATGTAAGGAGACAGTTTATTTTGTGTTCATTTTAGACTCCTCATTTCACAATTATGTTAGAATAAAGTTAAATTTGTCTTTAGCTTTGGGAGTTGACCACAGGTCTTGCTCATAGCCATGACTGATTTTGACAACTTGTATTGGGCTGGACACTTGTTTCATTTTGTAGACTATTAATAGTATTAAAATGATTTCACATTTTTTTGCTAATGTGACACATGTTCTGAGTGTGTAAATGGAGTTAGTAATTATAGTCAGAGTGTTATTTTACCAATAATACTAATTTTTCACTATATTTCTTGATTTAAGAAAGATTTATATTTATTTTTTTTTTTGCAGTTGCACAATCAGTGATGGGTTCCAACAAGTTGGGCATGGAAGTGTGGAGACCATGATGAAACAGGTGGCTTATGACTTTGAGAAGGGCTATGATTTGACACGTGCAACTGTTGAACACCAGGCTATGGCACAGATTGAAGAAGTGGTTGCCAAGGAAAATTTGGTTGTCAAGGAAGATATGGTTGCCATGGGAGATGTGGACAACAAGAAAGGGGTATTTATTACTTTTTTTTATTTTTAGTTTGTGCATGCATGTATGTGCCTGTACAGATATCATGGATTGCTTTTGAGACATACATGTATTGCCTTCTTATAATTAAAAACAGACATTTGTATCATTTCTGTTATGTTTGACAATATATTTGGCTTGACTTTCAAGCACATATGTATATACAAGAACATAAAAAGACATTATACTCATATTGAGGTATTATAATGCAACATCAAACCACCACAAGAATAAATGTCCCCAATTGTGGAATATTTTGACTACATTTACCAGTCAGCAGAATCAATTATTGGATAATTTTCAATATTTCAGAAAACACCCAGCTACACATATGCTCCTCCTCCTAACAACCCTAGGCTAAACTCAAATATGCAAAAGGAGATGCAGGCAGAAATCCCAAAATTCCATGCTGGGAAGATTTCCAGCTTAAGAAATGCAGATGTTTCATCTTTTTACAGTCTCATTGCTCACTTCAACCCAAGTTTTCTCATCCCAGGTAATCATATATATATATATATATATAATAGTATGCCATTATATTATGCTGTAGACATGTCTATATGATGATGTTTTTTAATCCTTTTTGATAGCGTAGAACAGATGTAACATCCTAAAATTTTGATTTACTGTTTCCTAATTAATGTTCAACAGTAGCAATATATGGCTCAAACAAATAACTT